TTCATCGAAACAAAGCTTAAAGTTCATTCCATAAAAAGGAAACTACCAAGCAATGCATAAAAGAAATGAGAACTGGTTTCAGAACTCAGTCTGTACATCACATGATAGGTACCCAGATTTTATTAATAGTGTTAAGAACTCCAAGACAGGTTCTTGGATGATCTTCCTATGAAAACCAGACAGTTTAGTCTGTATCTAGTGACTAGTACACACAAATCCCAGGTCTTTTGATAGATCCTGTCTCTCCTTTCCTTTCACTTACAATTTTCTCCAAAAAAACTACTGAAAACAACCCCTATAGTAGTCTGTTTACAACAACCCACCTCATTGACAGTTATAATTGTATGTTACCCTTATCCCTTATAACATATACTCCCCCCTGAAGCTATCAATATCCCCTCCATGAAGTTTCACCTTGTCCTCAAGGTGAAAAAGTAGGAAACTCAGTATTGATGAGTGTAACAGCTTCCCAACTGTTTTCAATGGATGGGAGTGTTTTCAACTGTACTAACTACCTTCTTTTTTCCTTCTTTTGTAAATTGTATCAAACCTATCAATACCACTCCATGAAGATTCACCTTATCCTCAAGGTGAAAGTCGGGAAATTCTTTATGGAGGAAATTCTCCTAACTCCTGAATTTCCTCTTCCGAAATAAGCAGCATATGGAGCTTGTTTATTTTTGCCAGTATGATTAGGCCCAAACTTCTCATCACACCTGAAGCATAAGCCCTTTTTATCTTGCAATTCTTCTTAGGACAATTTTCTAAACCCTAAACCCAACAAAAGAACTATTAATGGTGCTCACACAACCACTACCCTCTCCACTTCCTCTATTGAAGTTGGTAAAACCAACTGAATTTCCCCCTTCCTCTGAGTAACTACGAGTAGGTGGCAACTGTCTGTAGGTGTTACTTTGAAGCTACACAGTGAGAGATTCCCCTTCGGTGATGACTCTAACCTTTTCTTCCACCATTTGAACCTTCATCATTAACTCAACAAGATTCTTGGGCTCATACAACTTAACCTCAGCCTTTATTTCTTCCTTCAAACCATTCAAGAATATGCCAATCAAATAATCTTGTATTCCTTTCAAGAATCCAGCATATTGTTCAAACTGTTCAATATATTCTCCCACCAGCCCAGTTTGGCATAGCCCAATCAATACTTCAAAAAGATTTTGAAGCATTGTTGGCTGAAACAGGCAAACCACCACCCCCTTGAAAGCCTCCCACATGAGATTCGGATTGCAGGTTTCCCACCATTGAAACCAATTTAGGGCTTTCCCCTCCAAGGCAACCATAATAGCCTGCATCCTCTCCTCTTCATTGACTCCTTTCAACCGAAAATACCTCTCTAACTTGTTAGTCCAGCCATAAGCCTCATGTCCTGCAAAAACAGGAATGTCCAACTTCCTCCATTTTGAAGAAGCCACAACTGAACCTCCAGCCCATCCAATATTGCCTCCAGTCTTGTATTCACCATGCCCCCAACAACCACCACAGCACCAGGAAAGAGGCTCTGAATACCAATTTATAGGTACCCAGATTTTATTAACACTAAAAAGAACTCCTAGACAGGTTCTTGAATGATCTTCCTATGAAAACCAGACAGCTTGGTCTGTATGTAGTGACTGTTACACACACAAATCCCAGGTCTTTCGAGAGGACCTGTCTCTCCCTTCCTTTCACTTACAATTTTCTCCAAAAAACTACTGAAAACAACCCCTGTACAGACTATATATAATAGTCTGTTTACAACAACCCACCTCACAAACCGTTATAACTGTCTATTACCCTTATTCCTTCTAACATATACTTCCCCCTGAACCTATCATCACACAATAGTGGACGTTCCATAATGGACTTGTCTAAGTGGAGCTTTATTGATGGGACATTAAGTGTGACACTAACAATAGAATTTACATGAAAATAGGATTTACAATCACCCTGGCTTTTCCCAGATTCACTAGCCCTGACTTTTCCTAGATGTCGAGATCCCAAATTTTCAAAATGAATGGCCCCAGCTTTTCCCAAATGCCTAGCCTCCACTTTTTCCAGACACATGCTTTTTCGACCTAAATGCATTGGCCACAACTTTTCCCATATGTACCAGAGACTTGAATTTGCTCTGATGCCCTTGTCCCAGCTTTGTCCTTGATGCACAAGCATTGTCTCCATCAAAATGTCATTTTTCAAGTTTAAAAAGTTTGGGTCCCCAATAACCTGCTTTGCTTGCCATGAACTTTCTGACTGATAATTATTCCAGCTATCCAACTAAGCTGATTTCTGACTGATAATTATTCCAGCTATCCAACTAAGCTGATTTTACCTGCTTTGCTTGCCATGAACTTCACAAATTGACATCGCATGTCTCCAATTTGATATTTACCAAAATTTCAGGCAACAGAACCAGGTAAAAATTGCCAACAACACTAGCCTTTTGACTAAATGCAAAATAAGAACAGAGCATTAGAGCCAAAAAACATGGAGGGTAGAGGGCAGAGGGCAGTGTAGCTGCATTATTGAGCTAACACTCCAACCTGACTCTTCCTGACTAACAACTTACATTGGATGTCTCCAATTTGATATTCACTAAAAAAGCAAGCAGCAAAACCAGGCAAATATTGCCAACTACAACTACCCTTGCAGGAGAAAAAGATATGGCATTTTCGGTGTAGAAAAGAAAATTATTAATTTTAGGAGCTATAGTTTCCATCAATTGTTTTAGTACTTGTTAGAAATCTCATATCAATTAGAGATAAAACTTGTTTACGGTTGGAAGTTCCACGTCGATTAGTTATATTTGTTGTTTGTTGGACATGTTCCACCCGCTATAGGGCCATTATCGGACCACCCATTAATGTCTAGTCTCACGCTTGTGATGATGTCTATACCTCGGCGTGAGGAGTGTGTGTTGGAAGTCCCACATCGACTAGAGATAAGGCCAATTTATAATATATAAGTGAGTACAAACCTCACCTTACAAGCCAATTTTGTGGGATTGAATTAGACTTAAAGTTCACTTCTTAACATGGTATCAGAGTCATTAGAGTCTATCCTAGTAATATTTGTTGTTTGATGGGCATGTTGTTCCATCCGCTATCGGGCCGTTATTGGATCACCCATTAAAGTCTAGTCTCACACTCGAGATGTATATACCTCAACTTGAGGGGTGTGTGTTGGAAGTCTCACATCGACTAGAGATAAGGCCAATTTAGAGTATATAAATGGGTGCAAACCTCACCTTACAAGCCGGTTTTGTGGGAATGAGTTAGGCTTTCACTTCTTAACATTTACAATATATAAGGTGCAAACCTTATCTTACAAGTTGATTTTGTGATGATGAATTAGGCTTGAACTACCTTCTTAATATGGTGTCAAAGCTAAAAATCAATTCACTTCTACTGCTTAGCTTGAGAAGATGGCAGGTTTTGAAGTTAGGCTTACAAGTTGATTTTGTGATGATGAGTTAGGCTTGAACTCACTTCTTAATATGGTATTAAAGCTGAAAATCAATTCGCTTCTAATGCTTAGCTTGAGAAGATGGCACATTACTCCCGTCTTGCTCAAGGAGATATTGGAAACCTTGGCAAAGGAACCATAGTTGAATTGAGGCATACCAAGAGAGATAACTTTTCCCATTCATCTTTTCAAAGATAATGGTCAATGTTCCAAAGAAGGAGATAGCAAGTCCAAAAGACATTTTCATAAGAAACAACCAACAAAGACAGTGAATAGGAAACCCTAGCTTTGATTAGAAACCCTATAAAACATTTCAACCATGCCAGAAAAGGAGAACTACGGGTTAGAACAACATAGAAGTCTAATGAACCCTATGAAGGAGGCACATTGTTGCTATGGTGAGAGGAGGGTGGCGTGTGGACATCATGTGACACGCAACGACAAATGGAAAGTGAGCATGTGGCGACATGTGGAGCAGAGTCTATTTCCAAGACTGGTAGGGTTGGCAGTTTCCTGGAGAGACACTGTAATTTGGTGGTCACTAGAGAAATCTATGACAGTGGATGATAAAGGACAATGGCACACAGTAGAAACAACGCAAGAGAAGATTGAGACCAATAGAATAGGAGCAGAGCAAACCTCTCTCACACCAGTTTAAGCTAAATAAAGAAATAGAAAAGACTACATTTTAGACGGCTTATAAATATAATCTCATATAGGAAGAGAACCTTCATTCCGAAAAGGAACTTGTATATATCCAAAACATTAGGCCAAATTGCAGTCACTCTCCAGTCGACTTCCACAACATGACTCACACCAAGAATTTCTTTTTTTTTTTCCATTTTTTAATCTCTGAAACTGAAACTATGGCAGCATTTGGGACATTAGTCAGATCTCCCAAAACGACAGTTTCTTGGCGTTTTTTCTGAGTTGTCATATGGCAGTTGCAGCTCTTGCTTGGGCCTCACATTGGGACACACGACATGGGTCTGAGGATTTTCTTGACTTCTATCACAAAAAAGTGGATTCTTAGGAAAGCACAATCTTCAAATCATAATATACGAGTACCCACCCCACCTAATGAAGCCAACTTTGTGAGGTTCAATTAGGTTCAAAGTCTACTTTCTATGACATCATCATATGGAAGCTAGATGCTAGTCTTATTCAAAAGCAGCTACTTATTTGAAGGGATACACTTACACATGTGCAGTTACCCCTCCACTTCAAATGAACCTAACTACCAAAGTTGAAAAAATAATGGACGTTGCTTACATAAATAGGGTCAATTTAACACAAAAATCCATAAAAAGTGCAGAGTATAGAATGCATTCCAAGTAGCAGGCATTGACATGAGTCACATTATCAATGGAACTGCATGACATGGCCATTGGAAACAGACAAGCATGAAAAGTACAAAATTCCAAGGCTAGTTCAATGCATACATTGGTATGCCCATAGCCTTGAGATCTTCATCAGTCATATGATGAGAGCTGTCATTCACACCTGAAAAACAGTTTTTCAATAGAAATATTAGATCTTGATGGTCATATAAAAACCAATCATGGCAATGAACTTCTCTAATGGTAGAAAAAAAGGTAAAAAGATGTATAACATACTTCTTCAGCCTGAAAAGTAATGATGTACTTTTCAAGACCCAAGGACAGCAAAAAGTCATCAATTGAAGAATCAGCCTGCAAAACAAGAACCAGAATTTATATCTTCTAATTTCCCATTATTTACTAAAAGAAAGTTAACGATGCATAAGAAATCTGGGGGAAAATGATTTAGCTTTGCGAAGTATGAACATAGAAATTAGGAAAAATAAAAATTTACATAATACAACAAAATTAAACACAAAATGGCAACCAACAAGTAAATTAAAGGTGCATTTGTGTTGGAAGATGGATTTGGAGGAGTGGATTTGAGGGGAAATAGAGGTGAAAGTGAAATTGTTTGGATCAAAGGAAAGATGGTAAAAATGAAGGTATTTGAGATGAAAGTTAGTGAGTGATGAGATGAGTTTTATAGATTAAAAAAAAGGTTTTAATTGATAAAAATGGAAGATTACCATTTTATCCTTGATCATAAAAGTAATCTAAAATAAAATTTTAACTAATTACATTTAACTAATTTAAATTTTAACTCCTGTAAACTAATTAATTTTAACTCCGTAAATATGTAACACGCCATCAACTGTGAAAAAGAGAAAACGCTCCAGGACCAAATATGTAATTGTATAATATGTGCTGTCTTTCTCCCCTATTCTCTGCTGTGGAGCGAAGATAACTCATCCCCTCTTCCCCGCAAATCAGTCTGCCCAAATCTCTTAAAATTGCTTGATCCAATCAACACTCCCACCCACATTTCAATCCTCTACTACAGTAAACATCCATAAACCAAAACTGTTAGGTCTGGTTGGAACCTAACAAGAAACACTCAAAAGAAGAAACAGAAATGAAAGATGAGTTTGCTATTATTCACCGTAAACGAATCTCTTTACAAGGACTGGGTTTGGGAGCATAACCTCCCTCCTCAGGATGACAAACCCTGTTAGATTACAATCAACAATCACCCCCCACTACAATTGATTATTTGAATTTATACAACCAATAACCCCGCTCTTCCTAACTGCCTGGGCATTTAATGTTTTATTCCTTCACTCGTAAACTCTCCATCCCTAACACAAACACAAGCTAAAAGCTTAACATCTGAAGCTACTGGTAGTTTGATTAATTTGAAGAAAATTATTCATATCCCCCATTATAGTACAAGACACAAGATCTAATATATATATATTATATATATAACACAGAAAGTGTGCAATTGAATGTCAAATCAAGCTACCTTTCACCAGAAAAATATCAAACAACACCACTATAACAAATGTTGTCCTCGACATACTATAATTACTAGCAGTACCATATTTTACCAGCATATATCAGTCCTCATTATGCGCAAAACTACTCTGATGAAGGTCCTGTAATTTCAATTCATTGATGTCTCCCATTTTTTAAATTATGACATTTTAGAAGTTCGATCAATTGGGCTATCATAATCAAATGTGGATAAACTTAATTTTCACTAAATTAAATGGTTAAAATATCAGTTGTATATAATATATACTTTTTTAATATTATATAAATGAAATATTATAAAGTTGTCTATGGTAACCTGAACTTGATTTATTCCTAGTAATTTTCTAAAGAATATTTATATTCTACATCCATCCAGTCTTGTTGCACACACTAGAGACCACCTATGCATGTACCTACTCAAAGAACTTTGCAGAGAAGAAATTCGACAGATTCCGATCAGTTCTTCAGAATAAAATGTTCTAGAAAATCACCAGTTAACAGGGATATACAAATGTGATCAATAAGTGATGACCCGACATTGTCATATGTTAGAAGGTGGGTTTTAAGCGTAACTCAACCCCACAAAACCGGCTTGTAAGGTGTTATATATTATAATTTGGCCTTATCTCTAGTCGATGTGGGACTTCCAACATCATATATAACAAAAAGTTCAAATTGACAATTAAAGCCATTATATAACACGAATAATTACCTTCCGTGACCTTTTAGGAGCTGGGTCAGCTGGCCTTTTGATCTGCGCTGCAGGGGCCTCAGCACCAACACTTTTACTGCTTGGTTTAACAGTTTTTGATTTGGGCGGATCAACATTGGTAGGTTGTACTGTCATGGTCCCTGATAGCCTTTCACGAAGATCCCGCATCTTTGGAGCATAACTCTTTCACTCTGAGATGCAGTTGAAGACCTTTCCTTTGAAGCTTGAGCGTAGATCTTGAGCGCTAACCTTGCGAATCTTCACAATCACAGTCAATAACAAACAGTCAAAACCCATAAAAAAAAATTATTGGCACCCAACAACAGTAGCAACAAACAGTTGCTTATATGAGAATAACTTTATCCATACTAGTGATCCGTGGTCATCATAAAAGAAGATCATGTTCCCACTATCATTGCCTCGACCTGTAATTTAAGAAGAAAAAATTAGTTTTGATTATATCATTAAGTTATAATCACAACAAACATGCAAACAACCGATGTGCATGCTAAATAAAGCATTTTCAGTACCCAATCAAGTGCACTGAAAAAGAAGATGCTCAGCAGATGAATGAAAATCAGGGTTTTATATCCTGGACAAAATGGTTGATCCAAAAACACTAAAGCATATAGTGGGACAACCACTCTTCTATGTATTTTTTATTAGGGACGACAATAGTGCGCTATAGCCCCGAGATAGTGCTTCAGCAGGGCAGCCCTTGGTTGCTGTGGACACCTCCACATGGAGCATGTTCTGAAAAAGAAGTCTTCAAAATAGGTTTTATGGGTAGTGCTGGTGGGCTTTCAGAAACTTTTTTATGTTCAATATATAACAAGAACTCTTCACATAACCATGCACTAGATGAATTAAAGAGGTAACAACTTATTATACTTATAAAGTGATACGAAGCAGCTGTGTACAGGAGCTAAACAGCTCTTTATGTACGATAAAAGTTAAAATACACCCATGCGGATAGAACAGCCTTTTGTGTCAATCAAAAAGTCAAACATATTCTCCAAAAGGGAGAGACAAAGTGTGATCAGAAAAAAGTGGGTAATAAGAGCAGATACTAAGACTAAATGTGTGCTCAATTACCAACCACTAACAGAGTTCAAACAAAACTAACGGAATAAGCTTTTATACTAAGATTATCTCTTTTTTTTTTTGCTGTACTAAGAACAACTGACTATATATACCTACAGGACCTAATTTAAAGAAGATCTGTATCAATGCTATGCGCTGTTCAGCTATTATTTGGCAGCTCTCTCCACCACAAAAGTGAAATGCTTCACTATACAGGTGTCCATTGCGGCCAAGGACCGTCCACCCTACTAAAGCACTATCCTGGCACTATTCTCATCCTTGGTTTCAACTTCCCATATAACCATAGTTAATTCTGACTACAATTCTTGTAACTTTGAAATTACAATGCTAACATATGATGTGGAATTATTTCTATGCAACCTGAGCATCCATAAGCACCCTGAATGCATAGTAAAACTTGCCAAATAATCTAATTTATGTAACTTTTATTTGCCGAACGATCAGGTAAACAGAAGAAAAAAAAGTAATATTCTGAGTATATATACAACAGAGAATGCAGTCAACCAAAACAGTAAACCACAAGTGAACAACCTGTACATGCCCAATCTCAGGCACAAGTTCATCAGGTTGGAATATGTTACGTGAAAAAGAAAAAAAATACATTTGAAATATCCTTCACACAAGTCAGACATATAATAATACATCATACCAGAAAAGAAAAAATAGTCAATTCACCCAATATTTTGTAACTAGGTCAACTCTTAATCTGCACTGCAGTATCACTTAAGCAGATATCTATGATTTTCAAGGATTAGTGACAGATACCTCCTACAAACTACTAAGTTCTATGAGAAAAAATAAAGGGAATGGCAGTGGCTTTATGACTCATGGCAAGAGGTCAAAGGGAAGGGAACAACAATGTCCTATCTCTCTACGTGAGGTGTGATGTATACATCACATGATGTCATTTGGCCAAGTAAAAGAACAAAGCTTCAGTCCTTTTATATACAGTTGAAGAACTTGAATTAAGTAAAGCCGTGTATTTTTCCTCATTACAATTTACTATTGTATTTATAGAGTACAAAGGTGCATAATACAAAAGGGTCAAGCACTTCCTAAAACCCTAACCTAACAGTTGGGCCTCCATACACAAATAATAATAATAATAAAATAAAGAAACATTACATTTCAACACTTCCCTCAACTGGAGCATATAGATCATATGCACCCAAACTTCGAACATATAAATTGAATTCTAGGCCTCCTTAGAGGTTTAGCCGAATGTCTGCGAGTTGTTCATTAGAGCTGATAGACTCGGTAATAAGATCCTAGAAAATAGTTTCTTTCTAACAAAATGACAATCAATTTTAATATGGTTTGTTCTCTCATAAAACACTGGATTTGAGACAATGTGAAGGGCTGCTTGGTTGTCACAGTACAACTTCGTCTGCTCATTTTCACAAAATTTCAACTCTTAAAGAAATTGTTTAATTCCACAGAAGTTCACAGATAGTTAGAGTTATAGATCGATATTCTGCTTCTACACTAGATGAGCAACAACACTTTGTTTCTTACTTTTTCAAAATACAAAAGGTTAGGCACTTCCTAAAACCCAAACCTAACAATTGGGTTTCCATACATAAATAATAACAATAAAGAAACATTACATTTCAACATATACCATGAGATCTCTCTTTACCACTTCCTTTAGTGCTTTTTGGCCTCCTCTCCTCTTCAAAGAACTAAAAGAATATAAACTACTCTTCTTTATGCAAAAAAAATGTTAATATTAAAAAATAAAAAATAAAATTCTAATTCTACAGAAAAAAAATTAATTATCAATAAATTAATTAAAAACAAATTTTCATACCATTAAATTCTCTACTCTTTTGTATCCATGTTTTTTCTTGTATGACACACATTTATCTTATAACATTATCAATTATGCCCACTTACACTGGTGACCTTATTCTCTTGCCCCTTAATAACATTTTCAAGATTGGGTTCCCTGAGTACGTGAGTATATCAATGGAACGAAAATGGTTGTTGATATCTAAGAAAGGGACTTATGAAGGGTTTCTAATTGGTGAGGGTATGACCAACAGTAAGTTGAGAGAAGGTCAAAAGAGGTGATTGATAGAGCTTGTTTGATAAGGGAATTGGGTCCTATGGGGATACATAGTTGCAATTCTAGTTGTGGGATACTCATAAGAGTTTTAAATGGTTGGTTATCCAACTTATAGTGAGATTTTGAGAGTAGATTCCAAGGTGCTAGGGTGCTTGGCACACCTAACATAACACACCCCCTCCTCATCCTAGTGCCCCACTCCCCAAATTCACATGGAAGCTTTGAAGCTTCTATGTATGTTGAAATGTAATGTTTTATTTTGTTTTATAATTCATGGGAACCCAACTTTAGGGTTAGGGTTTAAGGCAAGTGCCTTGCCCCTTTGTATTTTGCCCTTTTGTATTCTATAAATACAATAGTGTAAGAAACATACATTGCTATACTTCATTACATTTATTCAAGTTGGTATCGAGCACCAGACCATCTCGTCTAGTTCATCTTCATTGTCTTTCGTCAGCGTCGTTATCTTTTGTTCATCGTCGTCGTTGTGTCTACCGCGTCACCGGATTTATCTCCTTGGCGAGTCAGGGTTAGGTGTGCCTCGAGAAGCACAACCCTTACCCGATGGTCGCCACTTCAAAATCCATCAAATGTGCCATTAAGTGCCATCTTCCATCAGCCAACTTCAGAAGCGTGTCAGCCACGCACTGCCTTCTCGATGTCGAAATCACACCGTACCATTATCATTCATCTCATTGGAGTCTCCGAGACACATTTTTGTCCTTGTCCTTATGTGTTGGTGGCAATAGCTTTCGCCTAAGGTTTTCCTCTCAAAGCGAGGGTTTTTTTGGAATTCTAGGGTTTTCTCTCCAAGCTAAGGTTTTTTTGGAATGGATTGTCCTACTGGAAAAGCTTCCTCTCTGTCTGTTACTCCTACAATTACCACTACAAAGCTCAACCAAATAAATTACTTATCTTGGTCCACGTCTGTGGAGTTATGGTTTCTTAGTCAAGCATAGCATAATCATCTAGAATAAGATGTCTTTAGTGTTCCAAATAAAGAAAAACCTCAACGACAGAAACTGGATTTTATTTTATGGCAATCTGTTGAGCAAGACATCTTAGAAATTTTGAGACCTTATAAGATATGCTTCTCCTTTTGGAAAAGGGCGCAATACATTTTTGCTAGTGATATTCAACATATCTTTGATGCAACTCAAAGATTAGCCTCACTCAAACAAATCAATCATGAGATGGTCTCTTATATAAGAAAGACTCAGACTACAGTAGAAGACATTATGACTAAATCTCTAAGGGGGTCTAGAATTCAATTTATATGTTCCAAACTTGGTGCATATGATCTATATGCTTCAACTAGAGGGGGGTGTTGAAATATAATTTTTTTTGTTTTATTATTCATCTATGGGAACCCAACTTTAGGTTAGGGTTTAAGGGAGTTGTCTTGCCCCGTTGTATTATGCCTTTTTGTATTCTATAAATACAATAGTAAAACTGTAACAGTGTAAGAAACATACACTGTTTTACTTCATTACATTTATTCAAGTATGTAAACAACTATTCAGGTAAGGTAAGGACTCCTCAACTCCTTCATCAGTGCTTATTCACCTCCAGCATTTTTCTGTCATCTCCGAATAGTAAAGCTCTAACAACTTAGTGGCTGAAAGTTGATGATAAAGCAACTTAAAAGGATTTGAAGTCATTGCTTTTAGGATTCACAAAGAGAAAAAAAAATAAGGATATCCAGTACGATCCAACAATGAATAGAGGTATAGAAGAATGAATAGATATTTTGTCTTTTATATATAGCTACTTTTTAATGTGTTCATCAGTATTTAGTCCTGGAAAATTGAACTTTGGAGTTATCGTTATGCCAATTTTTATGCACCTTATTTTAACTTTCATGTAATTTAATTTTTTGAACCACTAAGTTGCTTTCCATTATGAGTTACTATTATGAACGTAAACTTTGAAACACACAATAGATTTGTTTTCCTAACAACTATGCCAATTCCAACATTTAGCTTCAGACTGCAGCACTATCCACTGTATACGATATAAAGAATTTTTAGCTTTCTGCATTTACCACAGTCAGCTATCGATAACACTCCATAGAACATAGAAGTAAAGAAGACACGAATTCAATTGAAGAAATTGCATAAAAGCAGAGAGTATGGGAGAGGAAGAAGGCAATTGAGTAGGGAAGAGCTATTGGGTAACCTCTCTATTAACTGTTACAAAAATAACCATTTAGACAAACATGAAAAGAGTGTTCCATGTGATCTGCGTAATTTACATTCATCAAATGAACTCAATGTAGAACTCTTATTTTCATAGTTACATCATAGGTAGCTGTTAAAGACTGACAAATATGACGGAAATAACTGGATGATCAGCAGCTATAAGAATTAGCACACTTGCCCCTCATTAACTCAGGGTGGCAAAAAGAACCAAAACTGATCATACACCCTAGTTTGTATATAGAATAACATTTCTGATCATAGTATTTCATGCTTTTTCTGGATGGGTGATGGACAGTGAGGGTGTGGAAAAGGAAAAAATAAAGAGAAAGAAAATTGAAAAAGAGTTGTCTTGAATCAAATAAAAAGAGAGTAAGAATGAGTGAAATGTGGTATATATTTCCCATAATTTAATTCTATTTATTATTAATAAAAAATTGTAAATATAAATGAAAATATTAACACCATAATCAATTATGTTTCCAATGACTATATAGTTATACCATACCAATCCAACCCATGATCTTTTCTGAAACAAGTTCAATCAACAACGGGAATTTTATAATCTCTACATGCACCAAAATCACAAAGGTGGCCACCAGTGTCTACACCACCACAATTGAAGCCAAATCAGCCACATTTGTCCGCAATAACAAGATACATGGCGAAACCACAACCGAATTTAAAACCTCGCAAAATGCATGGAAAATCATCTCAAAAACACGAAGTAAGAATTGCAAACCTCTTGCCGGTGATTTGACGCTGTTGGTGGTGCCTAGTAGGGCCACTGATACCATTCCCATTTAAGCGTTCCTTCACGGACCTCCGCCCTCCATTCTCCACGCGATCAGCGTACATTTTCCGCAATTCACTCGGTTCGAAATCGGAAGAAGAATCAGCACCAAACCTATCAACCCTAATTTCGGAGCAGAGAGAGAGAGAGTAAAACACAATGGGAGTGATAGACGCAAGGGTCGGTAAGGAAGGTGCAGGGTACCGCAATGAGGAAGGCGTGGCAGATAATGCAAACCCTAACACCCCTTTTTGTTCGTCGCGAAAGGGTGTTGAATTCTGAAAGGAAAACAATGGCACGGATTTTCTGAGGAAAATGGAGTTTAAAGGAGAAGGAAAAATGGTTCAGGGTGGAAGAATTGTAAAAGTTTAATGTCTGTGTCTTTCTGGTGAGAGAGGTTTTGTTTTTGCGCAGAGAGAAAATAAAAATTGTTTGGAATGAAGGAAAGATTGAAAGGGGTCCTCTAGATTTCAGCTTATTTGTTTTTTCGCCCCCATGGGAAAACATTGGAAACGACAGCGTATCGGAAAAAGCGTAAAAGTTGTGTTTGGACATCCAAAACTCAATCGATAAATGGGACCTTGAAATTTTAACTGGATTTAGTTGGTCTAATTTAATATAGGATTAAGAAGGTTTTAGTTGTGAACTAATGCTCTTCTTAGTTTTATATTTTAATATAGTAATATTAAAGATTAAATATAATTTTAATACTTGAATGTGGAATTGAAATTTATTCTTTTCAATTTTAATATATTTTAATTCTTAAGTTTAAAAAAATGAATTAATTTATATTAAATATTTTATGTGTTAAATACATTTTTTAATTGATATTGAAATAAAAATATAATATAAACAATTTAAATGTTAACCTAACGTAAAAATTTAACATAAGTAACTTTAAAAACATTACATTCATTTATTTACAAAATAAAATATGTGAATTAAAATGTATTAAAGTTTAAAAAAACAATTTTTAATTTCCCATATGTAAGAACCGTGAAATTCAAAGAAAGTGGGGAAGACAGGTGTCTGCATCTAAGTGGACCGATCAATTTTTGACGGTAGTATATAAATGAACTTTTCAAAAGTTCGTGTCATTCTTTGCATGCACTTCTTCTCTCCAGATTCCAAGTTTTCCTTTTCTCCTTCTTCTCTCTACAAATTCTCTTTAAAAGTTCTCACTTTTTCTTCATTTGATCATCAACCAGGTCGTGCTTGAGCTTTCTTGGAGTCAAGAACTTTTCTTTTCACCGATCAAGTTGCTGTGTTGGAGTTGGTAAGTTCAATTCCTTATTCCTTTGAGGTTTATGCATTTTCTATTACATGCAAGCACTGTTCAGCTTGCATGTGTTCATCAACTACTCCTCTGAATTTGTTTTTCTGTCTTTGATTTTCTGGTTGGTTCCTTTTCACCGATCGGAAATTGTAGGTTGCCTTAGAAGTTATTCGCGGGTTAGATAGGATTGTGGAAGTGTAGAATATTCTGGATTATTCGAGGTAAGGGAAGTTAGTAATTTAATTATGTTTTTCTGTGTTGGGCATTTCTGTTTGGATGTGTGCATGAATGAATAAGTGGATGTTTGATTGAATTGTGTTTGAAACTCTGTATATGGCTGAAACTTGGGGAACGATTGAAATCTTCTGTATAGAGATCGGTTTGAATAGGTTTTTCTATTTTGGGTCAGTAAATTTGGACAGGGAAGAGAGTATAATACAAGTTTGGAAAAATATAGAAGTTGGTAAGAATGTTGTGTTTTGGTTAAGGATAGGTGTTGAACATAAGTCTGCAGTATTCTATGGAATTATACCGATCGCTAAGAGTCATTAGTTGACCATGCAGATTTACTCGAGTGTTTGGTTTTAACTACGTTTGAATTCTTATAGTTCTTATTGGTTAATGACCGATCGGTCATACTGTTGTACCGTTCGGTCTCTTAGTAGTGATAAGTGATGATTAACATTTATTATAAATTTTTAGTGTTGACCTAAGCATTAGGTGTTAGATCTAAGCTAAAGGGTGTTCGGCTTAGGTGGGTAATTGTCTTGGCAGTGTTTGTACTTGTATTAGTGTTTGGTCTTTTCTTGGGGGTTGGTCCTTAATAGTGTTCGGTCAATTCTTTAGTTTTATCCATTATATATCGTTCGGTCCTATCCTTTGGGAAGTGAGAAATCGTTCGGTCTCCAACATACACAGAGTGTTCGGTCTTATTCATATGTGTTTGGTTAATTTTGTTCGGCTTATATTTGTTCCAATGTGTTAGGATAATTAATTGTCCAAATTGCTTTGATGAATTATGTATGCATGATCTTGATGGTGTTAAAGTAAAAGTATGTTTGATAGAGGTATTATTATTATCCTCAAGGAGAGGTGACATGGTGGTGATTGTTTTTGGTGGTTTACTGTATAAATGGCCGGAGTTTTTCTGGGATTTATCCTGACATTCTAAATAACCATCCATGCTCAAGTAGAGTGGGATGAGTCATGTGGTGAGAATAGCAAGAGGTCTGAGTCTAAAGTGCCTGTATGGCAAGAGGGCATTTGTAAGACTAACCTGGTGTGATGGCTGATGGAGTTTCCAGTACTTCATCATACTAATGCACAAATCCTTAGAACTCGATAATTTATATAATTCGAATGGTCAAAGTCAAGTGTTCGGTCATTGCATGCTTGTGTGGGTGGTGATTTCGTAACTTTGAGTGTTTAATGGTTATAAGATTATTTTTGCTTTATTTGTATGATTAATTAAATTACACTAGCTTACCCTTCTTTTGTTATTCTTTCCGTTCGGAAATTCTTATTTGCAATGATCACCTTGTGGGGTGTGAGCAGAGGGAGACGGGTGTTCGTTGGAGCAAGCGTTGGATGGCGAGGATCCTGCTGTGTAGATTAGGATTGTTCGGTACTAGAGCTGAGTGGTTATGTATTAACCGTTCGGTTATAGTTCTAGTTTTGAAATGACCGCTCAGTTATGTACCTAGTTTTGTAATAGTATAAATTTATTGTAAAGTTTGAACTTTTATGTTTATTTTGTAATAACTATAAAAGGTTAACTTTATTTTCAGTAACTGTTTTACCATATTATTAAATGATGACACATGTATATAGTTTTATGCTATATTTTTGGGATGTTACACCATCAATCAAAGTTTAATAATTAAAATCATATTTAATCTTAACACTAAAATGTAAAATATGTAAGTTATATTTTAAAATAATAATAAATAGAAAAATTAAAATATGTGTATAAGTTAAGTGTGCTTTTATGGTCCAGTAATTGTTGAATTGTAATATAAATTTATAGAAAAGGGAAGTATCACGTAGAAAAATGTCTTTTAAATAACTTAATATAATATATAGGATAAATAATTTTTATTTAAGAAGTTATAATTATATTTAGAGTAAAAACTTTATATTTTTAAATAACATTAAATCCTGAAGTTATACACATGAGAGCATAATTGTTTAAATTAATTTAGAGCCAAAACAATGATAGTTATTTTTTTTTCTAATATGAATGGGATTACTTTTCATTGATATAAATCATTTTTATTTTAGTTGTTAAGTTTTTATGATCAAAATAGAAGAAATTTTTCCACTTAGGTCAAATATAGTTTTTAAGTTGACATCAACTAATATTATTATTGGTTGATGTTAAATAGAGTTGGTTTTATGTTTATTTGCAAATAAGGTGGCGATAGTTAATATTTAATATTTAAAAGTTTATCAACTATTTGTTAATGAAAATTTATTAATAAAATAAAATAATACAAACATTAGTATTTGATATCGTTTAATATGTTTTTCTTTTAAGATAAATATAGCCTATAATAATGGGTGACATCTTCGAAAATATTTGCATAATTATATACAACAATTTAAGATAATAAAAGCATATACTAATGTGATGATTTTTATAAAAATATTTAAACTATAGAACGTGGTTTCTTTTGCTTTTTTAAAGAACTGGAGCCTATAATTCTATAAATATTTTAAAATTTTCACTGTGCTTTTAAAATGTTTTACTTGGATGTTAAAATATAAGCTTCGGTTTTAAGTTAAATTGAAGTCTATATCATGGTTGCATTAGTATAAGTTTCAGTTATAGGTTAAACCAAAGTCTATACCTATCTACATAGGGTTAATTTGTGAATTTTTAAAACCCGTGATATGTCTTACTACATAACGCAGAAAATATTTACACAATTTTAAGCAATAATTTACGGATAATCAAAACATATACCTTGACTAAAGCCTATACTGATGTGGTGGCAGTTATGAAAAATATTTGCACAACTATATGGTTTCTTAAATAACCGAAGCCTATAGTTGTGAAAATATTTATAAAAAGGTCATAGTGTTTTTAAAAGGCTTTACTTGGATGTCAAAATACAGGCTTCGGTTTTAGGTTAAATCGAAGCATGTATCTTGATTGCATGAGTATAAGCTTTGGTTCTAGGTTAAACCAATGCCTATACCTATCTACATAGGGTTAATTTGTGAATTTTTACAACCCACGAAAGATCTTATTGCATAGCGGTGCTACAAAACTAGCTCTTCTTCTCTATCATTGTAGAACTCGTGTTTTCCTCCATAATAGCCTTCTTTGAGCTTCATTTATCTCATCCTTCTTGATTTTATTTTATGTCATTGAGGTTCGCATTTTCTTTTTCTTCTTCGTTTTCCATAATGTTGTTGTGAATTGTTTTGGTGTTATTGCATGCAAGTTTCTTATTATCATCCTTTCGCGTTTCAGGCGTTGCTACAAGAAGGTTCATGTAACTCTCGCTTTCATTGCTCGTTCTTCTTCTCAATATCACTCTCACGACGACTTTGGTTTAAGCTATTGGTATTGGTCTTGGTTGCAACATAGTAAAACACTAGAAAGGGGGAAGGGTTTGAATAATGTTTTAAAACCTTTTCATAAAACAACGTTTCACAACTTTTGTAGGGGTTAGATAGTTTGCAATAGTCGTTAGACACTTGTATGTTTAAAGAAACATTTAGGAAAACGTTTAAAGGGCAAAACAATAACACAGATATTTTTATACTGGTTTGCTCCAACCTAAACTATATTCAATTCTCCCTTAAGACCTTTTATGAGGTTCCACTAATCTTTAACAAAGATTACACGAGTTTCACCAGAGTTTACAACAAGTATTATCAACCACTCATGTTCTCAACATTAGTCAACTGA